GAAGCCTGTAACGCGAGCCGTGGTCTGGCGTACATCTACCTCGTTTACGTCAAAAACACCCACAGCGCTTTCACGGTTAGAGCTAGAGCAAAATGGAGGAAATTTTCGCCTACAGGACTCTACTTAGATGGGTTTCCCAATAGGAAACCATGAGAAAAACGTCATTTATGCGACCCGTTCCTTTCATTTTTTTAAATCTAATTTTTGAGCTAGAATGCTCATCTTCGAACTCGATCTGTTTTTTTATAACACAAAACAACGCTGAAAATCACAAGTCGCTCGCTCAATTCGTTTTTGAGTTTTCGTGCGGACAGATACACAGACACACAGATAGAAAAAGTTTTTTCTGACCAGACGGAGTAATTAATATGCTTCGCTAATCGCTTAGCCAACCAGACCACGTCTTGCGTAACAGGCTTCCCGATATCTCCCGAAACACTGTTACGCTGCGATGCGCCTGGCATGCCTTGGCCTGCGGCGCTGACACCCGAGTAGGGTAGTGGCAATATGTACACAAAGATACGGACCTACGGCCCATCACTTTGACTAAGCATGCAGTGTTGTACATTTTGTCACTTATTTTCGTCAAAAATGACTCCAGCGCCTTAGCGGCTTAAGCAAGAGCAAAATGGACAAGATTTTCGGCCAAAGGCCTCTTCTCTGACGAATTACCCTCTAGGAAACGATAGAAAAATATACTATCAGAAAATTCACTATTTGGACCCGTTGTTTTTGATTTTTTAAGAGTCCAATTTTTGAGCTAGAATGCTCATCTTCGAACTCGAACTATCTTTGTGGTACAAAACGACCCTGAAGATGAAGATCCCAGGTTCACTTCGCTCTCGAGTCATTGTGCGGACAGACAGAAAAAGTTTCTTCTGACCGGACGGAGTAATAGGCTTCGCTAATCGCTCAGCCAATAATTTAGTTTTCATCATCAAGGGTTCGTTTCGCAGTTAACTAGGTAGATGTACGCCAGACCACGTCTCACGTAACAGGCTTC